CCTAACTAACTCGTTACTGGAGTCTTGTTAGGAAAATCGCCGAGACAGGTCGATTTTTGTTTTCTACAATGTACATTTTTGTATGATTAGTTTACCCTTAATTTCATCCCTTACTCGAGGGGAGCAACCCTTTCGAAAAATTTAAATGGCATGGGGTGGTAAATGATAACTCATTTGAAAGAGGGTTTTATTCTCTATTCAACCATGTAAAACATTTTGAAATTTGCATCATTAATTCTCGACTAATTTTTGTTTCAGAATAACGGAAATTAACGTAGCACACTCATCCTTAGAATTAAAATTCGGCCCTGCATGATTTCGGTTTTGGTTCAGACGTGAAGTAAGACTTTTTGCCATTAGAAGGTCACTATTAGTTTAGTTGCTTTCCTATTTTGTGAGATTTTGTTATTTTTAAACATTAATAAATCAACACGTAACGTAGCAAATTTAATTTTTTTTGCACGGTTGAATAGAGAATAAAACCCCCTTTCAAATGAGCTATCACTCACCACCCCATGCCATTTAAATTTTTCGAAAGGGTTGTTCCCCTCAAGTAAGGGATGAAATTAAGGGTAAACTAATCATACAAAAATGTACATTTTAGAAAACAAAAATCGACCTGTCTCGGCGATTTTCCTAACAAGACTCCAGTAACGAGTTAGTTAGGGGGGGTAAGACTTAAGATTCTCACTGTATAACAGCCCTACAGCCTATGAAATTCTGTTTGTGACAAAGCTAATCAAAATATGCTGTGCATCATCTAAGGGTAAATAAATTCCCTACTTTTATTATTCACTCTTCTAAAACTAAAAACAGTAGTAGGCACTGAAAAAATATCAAAAAAATTGTGTTTACAATAAGAATGTCAGATTTAATTTAGTATTTGATATCTACAGTGACTAAAAGAAAATTAAGAATAATGCCAAACTTATCAGAAAAAGAACAAATCCATATATTAATGTTAATTGGATATGCTGAAAGAATTTATTTTTATCTTTTACAAAAAAAAAAAAAAAATTCTTTTGAGGAAATTTGGTGAAAACTTGTCCTTAACACACTGTAATTTTTTTCTACACCCGTATTATAATAATGCACTTATATGCCCATAATCCGTTTCATAATGATACCCATTATGATACAGATTTTTCATTACGATACAGATTTTTAATCAATAGAAACCTACAATTTTTCAATCAAGCATGCTGTTTGACGTTTGTCCTAGGTTCCTATGTAATTATTTTAGTTGTCAAAACGTATTAAATTTTCGTAGGTAGCTAAACTTCGATAATTATAATATTAAAATGTCTGATATTAGCGATATAGAAGACTCCTCCACACATATCGGAGAAAGCAGAAAATACAGTACAAAATATTTTACCGCAAAAATCTAGGGAAATACCAATACCTGAAGTAATACCATTAATTACAATTTTGTAGAATTTTTTATAGAAATACGAGTAATTACTGTTATTGTGTTCAATACCAATATAAATATAATATTTATAGGTCTTGATTATTTATCGGGTGTAGAAAAAATAGCGTATGCAACTCTCATGTAATGGTTATTAAAACACTCGCATAAACCATACGAAACTCGCCTTTGGCTCGTTTCGTATCCCGGTTAATGCTCGTGTATTAATAACCATCATTACATGATCGTTGCATAATATACTATTTTGATTTAAAATATTTATTTTTTCACCTTATTTTGACTTAATATCGAAAAAGCACCATAATTTTCAATCGAAAATATCTGTTTTTTAAAAAAGTCTTTTTGTTCGTTAAAATCTCTACTTTCTGATGGTGTAAAATAGTAGTTTACCTAACAAGTGCGGAAAGTGATACTTTTCCGCAAGCGATTGCAGATGGCCAGCAATCGCGTGCCGAAAAGTCACTTTCATATGAAGATAAATTTTGTCAGGCGCTTCATTTATAAATATAAAAATTTATTTTTTTGAGAAAATGTTTGCCTTTTTTGGTCTAAATCCAATGTTTTGTTTTTTATATATGCCGTGACCTTGGAAAACTTGCTTAAATCGACGTCTTTTTTGAGTTTAATTACACTTTTTAATATTGAGTACCTGGACCAAAGCTTGCATGTTTTGGAAATTTCAGCCAAATAAGCCAAAAAAATGTCTTCTTTAAAAGTTTTAATTCCCTTATTCTGGCACCAGTTTTCAAACTAAATATTTTCTTTTTCATACCTATAACGGGATCTTGATGGTAGTAGATCCAAGTTTGCAGTTCTATTGCAGTTCTAGCCGCTTCCAAAACTGACTCTGGCAAATCTTTGTCTGAAGAATCCATGAAAAATTATCTTCTAGAAAAAGATGCGACGGTAAAATTGGTTTTGACAATGTAGTGTTTTGACCGACAGGTTTATTTTTTCTTTGTTGATACGGTGATTTAAAGTGACAAATAAAAAATGTCAGATGTTTATTATTATTTAACATTCATTTGATGAGGCTTATACCAGTGCCATTAAAAAACTATTGAAACATACGTTTCTTTTTATTAAAAATTATAGCAGAATTCTAATAAATTTCTTAATTTTTCAGTCATTTTGTAAACTACAACTATACAAATATATATTTTAAATATTCAAATGTCAGTATACTCCCCAAAACCTTAACAAATTTAATAGTACTGAAAAAAGTTTTTTCCGCACTAGTGTGGAAAAGTGACTCTTTCAACACTAAAATGAGTGCGGAAAAGTGGACTTTTCCACATGCTAGTGAAAAAAATATATACATTACTATGGTAAAAGTTCTCAGAAAATGCAAAGAAACGAAAAAACTCGAATCCCAAATATATATTTTTTAATCATTATGTACAATTTTGAACTATTTATTAAAATTTACACTTTAATTACTCGAAAAACGTAATATTTCATGTTACATTGATATACAGAAAAATTACAAATCCATAAAACAAAGATTGCAAAAAATATGCGAAAATAATTGTTCTAGATATTGCAGATAGCATTTGATACTTTGACTGCTATACAGGGTTGGGATAAAGTATGGAACCAAGGAAATATCTTTAAAACGAGAAGGACGATGTTTATGAAACTTTGCAGGTAAGTACAATGACGCATAACGCATCTGATGTCATATTTTTTGTTACTACTATACTTTCGGTTTCACCGGAAATACCCTCAACTTTTTTAATTTTAAAAAGGACACCCTGTATATTTTTGCAGATTTTAAAAGATCTTGTTATTCCGAATTCGTACATACTAAGTTTGGTGGAAATTATTTGTTAAAAAAATACAGGGTGTCCCCATAAATATCGTCCTTTTCGTTTTAAAGATATTTACTTGGTTCCATACTTTATCCCAGCCCTGTATGGCAAGAGTACCATATGGCCAGATGCGGCCATGCTTTTTTTTTTCGCTTAAGGCTATTATTTATTATAAATTTATGATTTGCCTTTTATTTAATGATTGTTATGTTTTAAAGTCATTTTTGACATATGTCACGGATCCGTGCCATGCGCGTGGGATGACAAGATTTGTCATTCAGTGCTGAGCGTCACGGAAGTTTTTCGGGCTCTACGACCCCGAATTTAATCTAAAATAAAACAAAACCTTAAAAAAACATTATGATAAGTACCAAACATTACGAATTCATTAGAAAACTAAAAGTAATAAAAAAAAGATCTCTCCTAATAAAAAACAACAAAAAAACATATACAGTGAGCACCATAAGTCTTACCCCCCCCTATCTAACTCATTACTGGAGTCTTGTTAGGAAAATCGTCGAGACAGGTCGATTTTTGTTTTCTACAATGTACAATTTTGTATGAATAGTTTACCCTTAATTTCATCCCTTACTGGAGGGGAGCAACCCTTTCGAAAAATTTAAATGGCATGGGGTGGTGAGTGATAGCTCATTTGAAAGAGAGTATTATTCTCTATTCAGCCGTGTAAAAAATTTTGAAATTTGCTTCATTAATTCTCGACTAATTGTTGTTTCAGAATAACGGAAATTAATGTAGCGCACTCATCCTTAGAATTAAAATTCGGCCCTGCATGATTTCGGTTTTGGTTCAGACGTGAAGTAAGACTTTTTGTCATTAGAAGGTCACTATTAGTTTAGTTGCTTTCCTATTTTGTGAGGTTTTGTTATTTTTAAACATTAATAAATCAACACGTAATGAAGCAAATTTAAATTTTTTTTTGCACGGTTGAATAGAGAATAAAACCCCCTTTCAAATGAGCTATCACTCACCACCCCATGCCATTTAAATTTTTCGAAAGGGTTGCTCCCATCCAGTAAGGGATGAAATTAAGGGTAAACTAATTATACAAAAATATACATTGTAGAAATCAAAAATCGACCTGTCTAGGCAATTTTCCTAACAAGACTCCAGTAATGAGTTAGATAGGGGGGTAAGACTTATGGTGCTCACTGTATAAATAAATTCACTAGAAAACTGAAGTAGCCAAACAACCCTCTATAATGGCCAATAGATCATCATCCGTTGTTTTCTTGTTGTTTTAACTTTTTTCGCCGCTGACGGACCATCTTCATTAGCGGCCATTTTGGTTGACGTGCGGGAAAAAAAATGCGGAACGAATTATATTTTTAAACGCCCGGGTACTTTTGCTACACGCTCTTCCACGCACGATGTTCTCTAACGCAATGCTGGCTTCGTACTAATCAAAATACAGACGGAATATGAGCGACACGGATCCGTGACACGAGCGTCCGGTAATAAACTTCGGCGTCACGGAACCGTGCCATCAGCACTGAAAGGGTTTTAAAGGGGATTTCATCTAAAAAATGTCACTGCTGCATTTTTTTTTAGTAAAAAATTTGATTTATTAAATTCTAATTACATTTATGTCATAGATAATCTCATAATAAATAAAAATACATGTAAATCGTACTATTGAATCTAGATACTTTATACTGATTACGTTATTCATTATATTTTTAAATACATTAATCTTGTTATTTATAAATACCTTATCTTGAATTCTAACCACTTATCCATTAGTATTTGTCTCTTTGATGGCATTTCTTCATCGTTAGATTCAACAAACCTTCCGATTCTAGTAGATCTTCGAAATCTTCAAGACCATAACCGTCTTCGTCTCCAGTATCATTATCAGTCTACATTGATTCTTCATCCACAATTTGATCTGAATCATTAACTTCCTCGTAGATTTTTTCTTCCACATTGGAGCATTTTTCAGAAACATGACAATTTAAGCATAAATTCGTGCATTTTAAACTATTACATCCAGTTTCACAGCTGCAACAAAAAGTTTTGAGGAATATTTTCGGAATTAATTCCTTTTCTGTAAATTTGGCATAATGCCACGTTGATGTTGCTTCCAGCCCCAATCTGTTGCTGTCAGTTCGTTACCCAGTCAAGTTTGAAGCTGATAATGTGCTTTGTAATAATGTTGTTCTGCTGAACCTTCTGTGGGTGGGAGATTTGCCAATATGGAAGATGATTTAATTTTTGCCAATTGATATTTTCGAAATCTTAATATTCAGTGTTATATTATCATTTTTACATTTATAAATAGATTTGATTAATTGTAATCCATTTTTTTCGATATCTTTTTCAAAAATACATTGTCATTTATTTTTAAATTACCTTAAACATTGTTGTATTCTCGGCAGATCTTTAAGTACTAAGTTAGTAATCTGATAGTTTTATCACTGTTAATTTGTAATTTCATATTCTCATACATCATTAACCCATTATTTGTTAAAATATTTTTTCACTTTTATCATTGCATACTTTCTTACAGGCTTGATGATGGCCACTGACCGAAACTAGTCGCTTTCCTGTTTTCATAACAATAAATAATTTTTGTGGTTAAGACTTAAGACTTTTTCCTTTCCTTTGATTATTTGAATTTAATTGATTCAAAAGGACCAAAAGATTAATATCTTGACCCACAACAATGACAGTTTTGAATGAACAATGGCAAGCAATATCTTCTAAGCTAAAAGAAATAAAACCAGTCCTAGTTCCCTGGGAACCTGTCTTCAACGATAGATATCGTCAAGTGATAATTTCCAGGCTTCGAATAGGTCACACTGCTCTCACCCACAAACATCTTATCAACAAAAGTGATCCTCCTGTATATGATTTGTGTAATGTGCCTCTTACAGTGACCCATTTAATTGTGCAGTGTCAAAAATTTTTGCTTGAAAGAAATCAGCACAAGCTACCTAATAATATAAAGGAAATTTTAAATAGTAAATTGCACTCTACAAACCTAATCAAGTTTCTATCTGCAGTGAATCTATTAACACAAACTGTAAATAAATGTATCAAAAATGTATTATTAAATTACTGTATACGCTCATGACCTTTTATTATAATAAAATAAAAAAAAAACAATGACACTTTGGCAATTTCTATCGAGGTCTTAATTATGTCAGCATCATCATCTTCTTCTGCTTGTTTACAGGAATATTCTTGAAACTGTAATCTTTTCATTAACGTTTGAAATACCTTTTGATGGGTTAAAATTTTCCGTAGGTCACTCAGGCATATAAGTTATCTTAATATAGCAATAGAGGCATCTACGCATATAATTTAAAGAAGATTCTACAACTTCCTCAAAATATTGTTGATGTATTATTGCATATTAACTTTATTAACTTATTTGCGATTTTTTTGTCTATCAATGTAACATGAAATCTTACCTTTTTCGAGTAATTAGTGTAAATTTTCGGATTCGAGTTTGTTTCGTTTCTTTGCATTTTCCGAGTCTATTTACCATAGTAATGTATATATTTTTTTACACCATCAGAAAGTAAAGATTTCAACGAACAAATAGCCCATCGACTTTTTTAAAAAAGCAGATATTTTGACAGGAGAATTTTGTATTGAAAATTAGGGTGCTTTTTCGATATTAAGTCAAAATAAGGTGAAAAAATAAATATTTTAAATCAAAAAAATTACATTGTGTTTGGGACATAGAAAGGTAAGTTTTCACTAAATTTCGCGAATAAAAATTTTTTTTGTAAAAGAAAAATTAAAACCAAAAACTTGGTTATTTCAATTTTTCACATAAATTTTGAGGTTATGTGAAAAAAGTGTAAATACAAAGGTTGTAGATCTTTTTATTACCTACAACTTTTTTCCATAAAACTTATATTTTTGCTGGAAATCGAGATAAACCGTTTTTTGCCCTTAAAAACTCACCCCTTTGCACTTCCCGACTTCAGAACATCCATAAATTATTTTTCCATTTTTGTTATAGTCTCTTCCTTTTCCAATGGGTTTTATCATGCTACAATTTTTTTTTTGTTTCAAAAATTATCGACCCTGATCTATTAGGAATATCCTAAAACAAATTATAAATTATTGGTATATGGATTGACTTCACTTACATAATTATGATAAGAATATATTTTGAATTTTTAAACAAACAAAAATTTGTAAATGTACATTAACATTGTTGCCAAATCCTTATGGTATGTAATACTATATCGTTTGTATACATGTTAACACCTGTTTTCGTTTTTCTTTGTAGACCTGATGGTAGCCTAAGGCCGAAATCGGTTGTCATAATTTGAATAAACATTTGTTATGTTATTGTCTTACTAATTATACAAATAATAAAATATGTCAAACACCTAATTATAAAAATGTACTTCCGATAATAAATCATTTATAAAGAAATAATTTGTTGACGCATTGAAATATTTGGATCCTATAAATACGCACAAAGAAAAAATGTTAACAACAATAAATCAAACATTATTTGTAAGTGACATATTTCATGTATGTAGGTTCGTTAAAAATGATGTATTAGATTAGATAAAGTAATAAAGGATTTGTAAACTACGAAAACTCGTGTATTCTATTTTTGATTTGTTAATTATAATTAGTCAATTATTATACGCACGAGTATCACATAATTTTTAGGTATTATAATTTTTTTGGGTGTGTCAAAAAAAAACTTTTGTGTTAATGTAATTTAATTGTCATCCAATTTCTGGTCAATTAATTCATAGTAAAAAAAACCACTGTATGTAACTAAAGATATGTGTCTTGATGCTAATGCACATTAAAAATGTCAGTAATTTTAATAATCACCTCATAAATATAATAAATGAACTAAAAAGTAGTTCTCTATTTATATGCTAATTATTAAATATATGTAACGGACGATAAATGTAATTTTATTCATTTGATAGTTATATACTTGTATTACTTTTTTTATAATACGGAACTTTGCTAGGTCTATATTGCTCAATTTTTTAAAAAATGTTAGAAACAAGATTTATTGTGTACAATATTGTGTAATATTTATGTTCATGTAATAGATTAGATTCTAGAGAAGTTAAACATTTGTCCTTGACCACAGCTTTTCAGATCTATTGTGGAACTTCGATATTTATTAGACTTGGTAACTTTAACAGCTTTTCTTCACCTCTCAATCTATGCAGTGTGTTTCTGTAAAGTCCCAAGTCGTGTATCAGAAATCCTAACAATTTCTTACCTTCTTTTGTAATATGGATATGTTTATCAAATTTAAAATTATTTTAAAAAACTATTTCCAAGTCTGTCATTTTTTAACACTGTCCCTAATGCTGATCCTTGTATTATGTAGATAAAATTTTGAGTTTACGAGTTTTTACTAAATGTATTTACCTTGCATTTGGAAATATTAAAAAGTATTTTTTTTCTAATGACCAATTCGAAATTGAATCATTTATGGTGGATATTTTCATATATACTCTTAAATTATCTGCATACATCAAGCAATCTGATGTAATACGTAGAGGGAGATCATTGACGTATATTCAGAAAAGTAGAGGGCTTAAATTGGGACCCTGAGGGACCCCAGAGCCTGCGAGGATTCACCAGCAAACATTAGGTACTGGAAAGTATAAGTACAAGTATGTGTGAGGATTTTGGAGTAAATATAAGCATGTACGAAGATTTTCGAGAATTTATAAAGTATTTATGAAAAATTCTGAGCATGTATGAAGAATTTATGAGGATTTCTGAAAATGTATAAAAGATTTATAAGGATTTCCGATGATATTTAAGTATTTACAAGGATGAATAAGGATTTAGATGTACAAAGTTAAGGTCATTGGTCTGCCCATCGGGATATATTATTGGATCTCTTTAATGAACTTTAAAATAAGCATGATGCCCTGATTAAAACAGTTCTGCATATTTTGGATGTAATTATTATAAGATCAAACGAACTTACCTTAAGTAAAGTACGATCTTGATTATACACTTCACTTCCTTCGAAGATGATAAGTAAACGTAGATGTTTAAAGACAGTTGCGACCACAATAAACAACAATTTTCAATAAATCTTTATTGAAAAGTTTACAACTGTATCAAAAACAAACGAAAGTTTATCTACGAAAAACTAAATAAGAATGTTCTCAACAAAAGAACTGGGATCCTGCCTTATAGACCGATTATAACACTTAGCGAAACACGAAGATTCACTGGACCAGCCTGCTGTGGACCTTATATCTAAGTTCAGTCCTTTATTTAACGTTGCTGACGACGCAGCATGTCTCGTACTGTGAGCATGAAAGATGTTCGTATCAACCCCGCATTTTTTAGTGTTCGCTTTACCCAACGACTTAAGGTCTGAGCGGAGACTGAACTAAAAGGTTTTTTATAGAATATATGAAGATTTTTTACAGATTCTCCTCTAATGATCTTAGTTAGCGTCTAATGTTCTCCCAGGGCAAATATTAGGATCCTGATTAAAAAAGGGAAGAGTTAAACATGGTTGAAGTCTGTTTCTACCTGATGACTTAATCTTATTAGGAATCTTTATTGAGAAGCCATCTGGAGTTCTACAAATATTCTCCAATCTAATAAGGCTAAAGGTTTGCATTGTATGTGCAGTAACTAAAGCCAATAGTGTTATTAATTTTTCTGACAATGCCATTAGAGGAAGTCCATGATTGGGACACCAATCTCTGAAGGTATTCAGTACCATTAATGGGTTCCAAATTGAGTCGTACCTTGGCAGAGAAGGTCTTAGGTTACTAACGCCTTTAAAAAATATTTTGACCCTAAAGTCCAGAGCAATTTCCGGTGTCAAATCAAAGAAAGTGCTGATCTGTAGTTATTTAATGACCCTGGAACCGTTCTTGTA